CTTCAAAGTGTTTTTACATCTGAACCGTCTGTTTAGATCCAAAATCTTCATCCGCTTCCCAAAGACCTTGTTTGCCACTGAGGAAGGTCTGGAGACCAGGAAACACGGTCTGGGTGAGCGCCGCCGCCGCCGCTCACACTCACGACTCAGCGATTCTCATTCCCCAAGATCGTTATTTATCTTTTTTTTAATTTATCCCCCCCCCATCAGCCACCAAGCTGCAGGCGGGATGGAGAGGCTACAGGCAGAAGTCCAAGTACCAGAAACTCAGAAGCTCAGGTGAGGGAACCTTCTTCTCCTTCTAGGGTTCAAAGTGTTGGTTGGTTGATTTATTTGTGATGATCGACCCGCTTGCAGCCGTCGCCGTCCAGGCGTGGTGGAGAGGGATCCTGGCCAGGAGGAGAGCCCGGCGCAGGAGACAAGCCGCCGACACCATCCGCAGGTACGCCCGCCGGCGCCCTGCGACGACGTCACCTCGCCTTCCGTCACCTCGCTAAGCCCCTCCCCCTCCCTCCGCAGGTTCGTCAAAGGGTTCATCCACCGCCACAGAGAGCGCTGCCCGGAGAACGAGTACTTCCTGGACTACGTGCGCTACTCGTTCCTCATGAACCTGCGCAGGAACCTGCCCAAGAACGTGCTGGACAAGAGCTGGCCGACGCCTCCGGCGGCCCTCTCCGAGGTGAGAGGGCGCGCGCATGCACGCACGCACACGCGCGCGCACGTCATAATGGTCGTATCACGACTCCTCGTATGTCTTCAGGCCTCGGAGCTTCTGCGTAAGCTGTGCATGCAGAACATGGTGTGGAGCTACTGCAAGAAGATCAACTCCGAGTGGAAACACCAGGTGAGTTATTTTGTAGTCTTTCTTTTTTTTTTGCCTCTCAACGTGGCGCCGCGACATTCCTCTCACCGCCACCGCTGTCTGCGCCGTCCGAACAGATGGAGCAGAAGATGGTCGCCAGCGAGCTCTTCAAGGACAAGAAGGACAACTACCCGCAGAGCGTGTCCAAGCTCTTCGTCAACACCCGGCTCAGTAAGACGCTCCTTCCCAACGCCCCCGTGCTGTGTGTTAGCATCGTTAGCCTGTGTTAGCGTCCGTCTCCTCTCTGTTCAGACGGCGAGGACATCAACCCCAAGGTGGTGCAGGCTCTGGGCAGCGAGAAGATGAAGGTAGGTGGAGCACATTCACAGAAGCAAAAGGGCGGGGCGGGGGGGTTTGAATGCGAGTGTCTGACCGGCGGCCCTCCGACCCGCAGTACGCGGTTCCCGTCACCAAGTACGACAGGAAGGGCTACAAGGCTCGGCCCCGCCAGCTGCTGCTCACCGCCAACAGCGCCGTCATCGTGGAGGAGGCCAAACTCAAGCAGCGCATCGAATACGCGACTCTCAGAGGTCAGAGGTCAACAGACTGGGGGGGGTGTGTGATGTTCTGGGTGCTACAGAGTTGCTTTTTTTTAAACTGGCCAAGTGCAAAGAGAATTAAAGTTTACAGTTTAATGACTTTACCGTCAGATCTTCATCTTTCCGATGGTCCTCGAACACATCGCTTATGAAAGACAGACTTCATTGAAGCTCATAATGTGATTATTCAATAAAAATCATTCTTCCTTTAAATTTAGTTCACCCCACATCTGTAACACGTAGGATTCTCAGGATTTATTTCACTTTATTAATGTTATTTGGGGGGTTTTGAGGGTTTAATGTGAATCCCAAAGTTTTCCCTCATGGAGACTCTCGTCCTCTGCAGGCGTCTCCGTCAGCTCCCTCAGCGACGGCCTGTTTGTCCTACACGTGCCTGGTGGAGACAACAAGCAGAAGGTAGGGGGCGCCGCTTCACGTCCACCAGCTCTCACTTGGGTTCGTCCGGCTGTTTCAACGTGTGTGTGTGTGTGTGTGTGTGTGTGTGTGTGTGTGCGCGTGCGCGGTTCCTTTGCAGGGGGACGTGGTTCTGCAGAGCGACCACGTGATCGAGACCTTGACCAAGATCGCCATCTGTTCCGACAAAATAAACAACATCAACATCAATCAGGGCAGGTGAGGAGCCGAGGATGATTGACGGTAGTGGGGAGAAACGTTGACCGGGACCAGGACGGACTGGGACTGGGACTGGGACCAGGACGGACCAGGACGGACTGGGACTGGGACTGGGACCAGGACGGACTGGGACTGGGAGGGCCAGACTGTCAGTAGAATGAGAGGTTTTCTAAAGGGACCCTGGTGTGAGGACACTACCACTCTAGTCCACAGGGGGCGCCAGATGAACACTAAATAAAGGTTCCTCATAGTTCATTCTTGCGTGTCTAACCCTCTGCTCCTCCTCCAGCATCACCTTCACGTCGGGTCAGGGCAAAGAGGGGACCATTGACTTCACGCCCGGATCCGAGCTGCTCGTGGCCAAAGCGAAGAACGGACACTTGTCCGTGGTGAGTCCTCCGACCTTCCTCCGACCCGCTCGGGTTTACGCTCCGTGAGCCCGAAGAGGGCGGCGTTCAGCCGCGTAGCCTGGCGTCAACGTGGACACTGAACTGCTTGTGATTGTGGGCTCACGTCCGATTGACGGTTGCTCAGCAACAGGACAACAGACCTGTTTAAAGTCAAAGTTTCGATGTCCTGATTGGTGGAAAACTATGTGACATCACCTTTTTTTATTCATCACTTATTTCTTTGCAGGGCTTTTATGAAAATAATAAAATAGTTTGTAAAAATGAGATGGGCTCAAAGATAATTACTGTTAGTAACCTTTTTGCTTGTGAGTTTGAGCCGTGTGTCTTTATAAGAGGCCGTAATCGACCCGGACGTCTGTGTTCCTGTTGTTGTTGTTGTTTGGGTGTTTACTTCCTGTCCAGAGTCTCTGCTGACCCCTGACCTGATGCTTTTCTTCCAGACGGCTCCCCGTTTGAACTCCAGATGATTGACCCCTGACCTCCATCCTCCAATCACAACCGCAGACCCCGCTCTGCCTAAGCCAATCAGACGCCAGCTGTCGCCTCACAGGGACACATGCTTCCAAAATGCACATGCATACATATATGTATGAAAAAAGAAGAAAAAAAGAATCCAGCTTAACTAATTGATATATTTATGTTGATATATTACCTTGTGGGGGGTTTAATACTGTTTGAATATTCTGATTTTATATATGAGGCCAAAGAATAACAAATATTTTTGGTGCACTTTTCTTGCACCCTTTGTGTGTTTGAGTTTTATTTCAGGAACACGACCAAGAAAACAGCGTCCGACTTGTTGATGGAAATCAAAGTTATTGCGTCTTTTATTTTTCCATTTCCTGCTCAACTCGCAGGACAAAATGCCACATTTGTCACCCGGTGGGGGGGGCACAAAGGCCCATGAGGGGCGACGGCGTGTGGGACCGCTGTTAAGACGTGGAAGAGGAAGTGTAGGAACAGATGTACTCCTTGGGGGGGAGGGGGGAGGCAGGTGTAGAAGTACGTGAACAACGCAGTGGTCTGTTGGTGCCTTTTTCTCTTTGACTAATTTATTCACAGAGAGTTCAATGTAGATGATAAAATGACCCCCCCCCGTTATCTCGGCTAAGCTAAGCTAACCGTCTTCCACACACTTCTTCCTTTTTAGTGACGGGAGAATCTAAACATTCAGAGACGCTTCCAGATTTTATTTTCTTTGCCCTTCTGAGGGTGGAAAATAAATCTTTATTCAATCAAGACGACGGCAGAATCTTTAGGCATGAATTTGTCCTCCTTCTGACGTCTGAGAAGAGCTCCAAAAGGTTTTAGTACTTGTTGTTTTTATGTTCCATGCTCTGTGTGCGGTTATGAACCAGAAGGCTCTGATGCTCGTGCCTTGTGCGGTGGAGAGAGGGGGAGGAGCTACGTGCCAGATTACCCAGCAGCCCCTAATGACCCCGCCTCCCTCTCCCTGCGTGCAGAAGCTTTATGGAAAACCAAGAAGTTGGTCCCCTGTTCTCAGACTTGCTGCTGTAGAGTCACAAAACACACTAAAGATTTCAGAAATAAAACATTTAAAAGAGAAGCTGAAGCTCCTGGTTTGTTTCTTTGTGTCTGACGATCATTTAGATTCACCTGCAGATCGATATTAACGTGAAACACTGGAGAAGAATAAAAGTGCAACCGGCTCAAACTTCTTCTGCTAGTCCTCCTTCTGCAACTCTTCTTTTCCTCCTCCTCCCTCCCTCTCTCTCTCCCTCCCTCCCTTCCTCCCCCCTTCCACTCTTTTTATACACGTGTTGGAAGCAGCGTGGTTGAAAAATGTGTATATATTAGCTAGTATTAAAGTACCAGTACTATTTGATATTGAATCCTTCATGGTGTTAAAGAGGGGCTTCTCCCAATTAAAGGATTCAATTCAAAGTATTTATCGGTATTTAGTAATTCAAGCCGCCACTAGGTGGCGCCTTCGTTTAAGAACACTTACTAGTTAGTTTATTCTTTCCTCTTTCCAGACATTCTAGGAACTCCAGGTGTGGAGTTCCTAGAAGGTGTGATGGAAACGGTTTCCATCAAACGGTCCAACTTTTATTGGGTTACAAGACATTAAAATCTCAAAAAAAAACTTCACAAACTAATTAAACTAATTTGTTGTATTAATATTAGGAGTTCATATTATACATTTATTTTAGCCCTGTAGTTTCATTGGCTGGTATTTTATTTTTTGGATTACATAATTACATAATCATATTAGATTCATTGTTTTTGTTTGCAACTTCTATCCCATAATAACCGTTCAGACGTGAACTGGCCCCTTCCTCACACACACACACACACACACACACACACACACACACACACATATGTATATATATATACATATATTACATATATGCATATATACATATATGTATGTACATATATATATTATATATATACACATATATATATTGGTATGAACATTATGGAACAACACGACCCCGCTGTGATTGGCTGCGGTCGGTCTCTAGCTCAGCCGCGGACCAATCAGCGGGCGCGGTTGTTTGTGTGCGCGACTCCGCCGCTATAAACCTCCGGCAATGAGGGAGACAGGAGGGAGAGAAGGGTGAGAAAGTGTGAGTCAAAGACACCCCCAAAAAAGACGCAGCTGTATTCTGTGTTTCTTTGTTTTCATTTTTTCTCATCGAGGGACATTTGTGGGACATTCGACAGAGGACCGGGCGGCCCTGTTGTCCCGTCCCTCCCTCCCTGGATCCAGACTCAGGTAGGTCCGCTGCGAGGATGCTCCTGTGGAGGACTGCGTTCATTCAGCGGGCAGCACCATGTTACATCTCTGCGGCCGGTGCAGAGACTTCTCCTTCTTCTCCTTCTTCTCCTTCCTCTCCTTCTTCTCCTCCTCTTTCTGTGTTGTTGTTTTCTTTATCGGCTGCACGGGAAACTGGAGCCGCAGCAGCCTCCATCACTCCGATCAACTTTAATCCCATCGCTGATGTTCGTAGAATGACTCATTCCCCCTCTGGTCTTTAACATTGTGCACATTTGCTGTAAATAAATGAATAAAACCTGCTCAGATGTTCAGGTCAGACGAGTTGTTACCATTTATTTCAGTCATTTATCTTCCGTTTCCCCTTTTGTTTTTGCCCCGCACGAGCGCGTTCACGAAAAGCTGCCTGAAAGTTATAATTTAATATTCTGGAATAAAAGAGGCTCTGACGTCACAGAAGCGGTCGAAGGGTGTGTGTGTGTGGGGGCGTGGGGGTCGTGCGTGTGCGCGGTGTTTTTCGTTGCCGTGTTTTGGGTTTTACGTGAACAGCCTTTGTCTCAAACCATCAACGATGGTAATTCCCCAATTCTGTTGTTGATGCTGAACAGCTGAGCGCCTCACGCGTCAAGCCACCGAGAAACTACGCGTCTACTTCCGGAACAGGGCAGCTAATGTCTTCAGAATAAAAGGCAAAGAAAATCAATCTGAAAACCCGCAGTTGCTTTCTCATACCCAATACATTTTTCTTTGTTCAAATAATGGCAAATATGGCTGTTTATAGTTCACACAATGATTTCCAGCCAGTTTCTATTTCATTTAGCCTCTCCCATATATCTACACCCAGATACATAATTATTTCTCGCAAAACCAAGTAATGACATTCTTTTATTCTGAAAGGAGTAACCGGAAACATGACATTGTGTGCTCGCTGGCTTCACCTCTTCCATCCTGGGATGCAGATTTGGGTTGGGTGGGGGGGGGGGTGTGCGGATGGTTTCTGTCCAGTTGAGACCAGTTCCGCCGCCTCTCCTCATTCACCGTTAGATGACTTTGACTTCTCGTCCCTGGACTCGTGAAAGCGTCCCGGTGAAGTCCGGTTCCTGTTGTCACGCCTTTATATTCGATGGCCGTCAGTGATGAGGATCGATGAGCGGCATCAACTTCGTTTCCAGACACAAACAACACCGCGTTACTAATGTATCCCACAGTTATTACCTGTGAACAATTTTATTTTATTATTTTAGAACCAAGTCACGTGTAAAGACGTGGTGCCATTTGCTCACTTATTTTACATAAGTTATACATATGTGCCATTTCAATACAGTGAGACGCCATTTTACTTTACACTATGATTCATGACTTTCTTCTTAATGTTTTTATTCGTATTTATTGTTCTATCCGGGGCCTTTATCTCGTCGCTGCGCACCGCAGCGCGTCACGGGCAGAGCAGCGCGAGCGCCGCCGGTTGAGCGACGCCTCAGATCGGATCTCGCGCCGCGCCGGTTCGAGCCGGCTGGGGGCTCGCGATGCGTTCACAGGCTGTCGGATTTCACATCTAGTACACTTTGTTCCGGACAAATTCGGCTCTTGTTTGTTTGCACTCGACAGACAACCGCTCAAAGAGTGGGACGTTTGCGCGCGTGTTTTCATGCAGAGGGGGAGAGGCGGGTAAAATTGTGACCCGTTGGAAAATTGTTAAAACACTAATTTGACCTCGGGTACACGTATTTTTTTAAATCTGTGATTTCTTCATATCTAAATTTAGATTGTTTTTAGTTCATGGATATGATATTTACAGCATAACTGTCGTTTATGTTCTTGTTTTAAAGTCCAGCTAATACACTATTTTTGGCCAACGAAGGCCCCGAAACTATTTCACCCCATAGGACGTGAAACCAACATTAACCTCACGTGCAGCTGCTGCGCGACCAATGTCCCGGTAGCCAGTAGGAGGAGAGCCGACAATCCCCCCAGCCAATCAGATACGCAGGGGGGGCGGGATTAAAAACATACTCATAGGAGGGGTTACTTATGCAAGTTAAAGGCTTCAGCTGTTTTTCTTTTTGTGGGAGTCCTCTTCCTCTAGACCTCCAGCATCCTCCTCCTCCTCATCACCAGACAACAACAAAGACATGTTTATGATTTAGGCGCCATCGAAATCAGAAAGCTTCTGATTGGAACAAGAATCCGCTTTAGTAGTCAGATGTTTGTTATGAAACAAAGAGGGAATTTTAAGTAGCTTTGCACTCCGTTATAAGAACACATTTTAGAAACAGTTTTTTGATAAAATATCATAATATCATATCAGGAAGTTATTTGTCATCATTGTGAACAGCTGACCCTCCCGTCTTGTGTTCCAGGCTGCAGCGGCCTGCCAGCCAGGAGGACCAGTGACGCGCCGCCTCCCCCCCAGCCGACATGGCTCCCACGCTGGCCACGGCCTTCTCCCGCCGCTGGTGGATGGCGGTGACGGCGGTCATCGAGAACCTGCTGTTCTCCGCCGTGCTGCTGGGCTGGGGGTCGCTGCTCATCATGCTCAAGTCGGAGGGCTTCTACTCCTACATGTGCGAGGGGCCGAGTGAGTCCCCTTTATACCGGCGATATGTAAACCGGCCACCGACAATTCCCACAATGCAACTCGGACTGCCGACAGGTCGCTCGGACATTGGGGTGCTAGTAGCACCTAACGTAGCTCCAGAGGTCTCGCCTCTCTCTGACTGCACCTCCAGATAGTATTTCCATACAGTCTACACACCCGGGAGGGGTTCGTACTAGTGATGTGTCGTTCGTGAACGAATCCTTACAAGGACTCGAGAGTAACAAGTGCTCTCAAAAAAAGATTCGTTCATTTTACCGGAGGAGATTCAAAGAACCGAGTCGGTAAAAAGATCCGAACTTCCCATCACTAGTTCGTACTCTTAGTCCCACCCAGCGTGATTTTATTGGTTGAACCGTAGAATCTGGGCGGGGCTAAATGTCTCCTATGATTGGATGCTAACTGTGAGCGTTTGTGACACGCCCACTTTTACTACCGAGGCCAATTTCCCGACTTAAAAAATAATTTACTCAGTAAAAACGTCAATTGGCATCAACCATCACAACAGTTTAAAGCCATGACGTCTTAAACTAGCGTTCATCTTTGACTCAAACGGGCTCAACTTGGATGAGAGCGTTGTTGCCCTTGGTTACCTGATACATCTTGTATATAAGATTCACCTTTAATGAAGATTAACAAATAAATAATCAGAGAATATGTAATGCCATATAAAGTAATACATTACTAGCAGCAATGCGTATCGCTCAAAGCTAAAGCCAAGTTCACCATCACACGACTGTGGTCCTGACTTCACATTTTCATGTGGAAAAAATATCCGATTGGACGGCGAACTGAAAACTAATTACTGAGCCAGCAGCCGACATGTCCTCCTTCCTGTGGAAGCACTTAGGAACTTACTGTATGTAATAACACAGTGATCACATGAGTGACTGCGTTCTAAACTGCACTGTTCATTCGTACACGTACGAGCCTCTCGGGGCCTTTTGGCGAGACGACTTCACGGAAGCACCTCTTGTGCGGGCGTCATGTTTTGGCTGAGACGGCCTGCTGGAGTTATGGAGATTCAAGGAAACACAAACAGTTCTACAGAAGGCCGTTTGTTTTCCATCTTTAAAAAAAAAGAAACCTGCAACAATATTGTTACGGATCCTCTTCTTTTGGAGTGAATAAGTCGACATGCCAGCAGGAACATTAAGCTCCATATTTAATAATATTCCATCACTGTGCTGGATCAAAGCAGGGAGCCGCGCTCAGACACACGGCGTTACTTTGCATCTTCATGAAAATAAAAAAATTGCTTCCCGCTCGTAAAGATGAAACCCGGGGAGGACGAGGCGGATTCGCCCGAAGCTCATTTTCACATGGAAGCGACGCAGAGCGATGGAATGAGTCCCGAAAGCCTCTCGTGGATGTTACCGCACATGCGTGGGACATGCGCCCGTCCCTCCCGTCCGTCGTGGACGCAGCGTTGTTTAAAGCTGATAATCCATCCATGTTTTATTATAGCTGGTTCATCCGATTAACTTCGGGAGACTTTCGCCGGTGACTCAGCTTCTTCCGCGCTGACCCGCTGAGTGCTGCCGAGTCAGCTATTTGTTTTTTTTGTGTGTCTGGATTCAGGACAAAACGGTCCCACTTCTCCTGGCGTCTGCCTTCACCACGAGGCGGGGAAACGTTCGGCGCAGTGGAGAAGAAAGGAGCATCGATGTGTCACCCGAGTTCATCTCGCCGAAGAGTTTCTGTTCCCGTGGCTTTTCGTGCCCTGTTAGTGAAACTCATCCGGTTGAACCACATGCGTGTGCGTGTTTGTCACACTGCAGTAAAGAGACAGCTGTCATCGTCCCCCTCGTCCCTCTCGTCTCACTCTGAGCGATGACTCTCACAGGGATTCTCCTCTGACATGAAGCCGGTTTCTGTGAACGTTCTCACTTCTTAATCCCCCGAGTGGCTCCGTGTTTCCTTGTGACCCTCACGGTGCATCAGCTGGTGCGTCCTGCCAATCATTCAGACAGCTGACTGGAGGACTTTTCCACTTTAAGGAGGGAAAACATGCAGAGAGGAACCCTGAGAACACGTTTAAACAGCAACGTGTTTTGTGGTGTTGACATGAGGAGACGCCCGGTGAACACCGTGTGGGCGGCCCGGCTCTCCCCTCATCGATCGGGTGGTGGTTTTCACTGCAGTAGTTTGCTTAGTCAGCAGCGAGGAGCCGGGGGGGGGGGGTCGGATGTTGCTGCTGCTTTCCTTCTCCCGGTCCAGCAGTCAGCCCGAGGAGCAGACGTTTGGGCACCAAGCTGCTGTGCTGTTCAGCAGACGTTCATCTCCACCTCGGGTTGGACGGCTTGATGAGATGAAGGAACGTTTGCTGGTCCTCTTATCACACGTGTTTGCAGGCTGACAGGCAAAACTAAGGTGATGGGTTGGCTGAGGAGAGCAGCTGGCGTTCCGCTTTAGCTGCTTGTTGTCGCGTAGCTGAATGTCGGAGCTGAATGACCTTTAACAGAAGCCCACCGGTCATTACGGCTCCGTCAAAGGTCTGTTAGACGTCCAGGGAGCCGGTTGATACCGGAGGCAACGGGTCTAATGGAGCAGATGGATGGAAATAGACTCTGTGTGAACTCAGTTGACTGTGTTTACCAGAGATTTGGTGGCCGGGGGGAGGGGGGGGGGGTTACTGAGAGTTCCCTTCCCCCCCGCGGGGGTTCAGTTGGGACCGTAACTGGGCGCCTGCTGCACATTGTGTTGTGTTGTTTTCCCTCCGGTCGGTTTACGCGACCTTTTAATGAGTCTGCTGGCTCTCTGAAGGGGGGGGGGGGACGTGGTTCAGGTCTCACCTCATAAGGCCACATCAGAAAGGACCTTGTAGCTTGTAGTTAAAAATAAGCATTTCGTTTCATCGTCATCAGCGATGCTAAATGCTAACAGCAGCTTGCTACCATCCTCACAACATGCTGATGTTTATCATTATGAACTCATCACCTGTAGGACAATAAGGAGTTTTTCTCTCTCGCAGAGAACGGCTCCGCCTCCAACCTCTCCGACGCGTCCACGTCCGCGCCGTCCGACTCGGAGGAGTACCTGGAGATGAACGGGTGGCCCATCTGCAAGGACCAGGACGAGATGCTGAACCTGGCCTTCACCGTGGGCTCCTTCCTGCTGTCCGCCATCACTCTGCCCATGGGCATCGTCATGGACAAATACGGCCCGCGGAAGCTACGACTTCTGGGCAGGTGAGGAGAACGGGAATCCTCCTCTTCTTTTACCGTCGTGTTTTTGTGCGTGTTTGTTTCTAATGAGTTGCTGCGTGCGTTCCTAGTGCCTGCTTCGCCTTCTCCTGCCTCCTCATCGCCTACGGCGCCAATGACCCCAACAGTACGTATGATGTCATCAGGTCAGGCCTCAGCGTGAGCAGCGTGAGCGGGTCACTGATCTCATCCTTCTTCTCCAGATCTGTCCATCCTGATCTTCTTCGCTTTGGCCATGAACGGGTTCGGAGGCATGTGCATGACCTTCACCTCTCTGACTGTGAGTATTAAAGCGTCACCAAGGTCACATCGCCGCTTTGGTTTTTTTTCAAATTAAAGCTGCTTGTCATTTATTTATTTGGAGAACAAAATGCAGGATGTTTCAAAATACTCCTTCGATGCACATGTGTACAAAACATACCGAGAGACAAACAGGAAGTGTGCGTGTGTGTCTTCACACCCATAATGCACTGCACACACATCCACCCACCCACGCACATACACACCCACACATGCCCGCAAACACACATACACACACTGGTGTGCATGCCAGCGTCCTGTGTGTGTATCTGTGTGTGTGTGTGTGTGTGTGAGCCTTGTCTGTGGGCCTCAACTGACGTTTAGTTTGCACCGCAGACCGTGTGTGGGTTTGGGTGTGTAGTGTGTGTGTGTTTGGGTGTGCGTTTGTGTGTGTGTGTGTGTAGTGTGTGTGTGTTTGGGTGTGTAGTGTGTGTGTGTTTAACTGTGGGTGTGCGTTTGTGTGTGTGTGTGTGTAGTGTGTGTGTTTACCTGTGGGTGTGTGTTTGTGTGTGTGTGTAGTGTGTGTGTTTGGGTGTGCGTTTATGTGTGTGTGTTTGTGGGTGTGTGTTTGTGTGTGTGTGTTTGTGTGTGCGTAGTGTGTGTGTGTGTGTGTGTGGGTGTGTGTTTGTGTGTGTGTAGTATGTGTGTGTGTGTGTAGTGTGTCTGTGTTTGGGTGTGCGTTTGTGTGTGTGTGTGTGTGTGTGTGTAGTGTGTGTGTGTTTGGGTGTGCGTTTATGTGTGTGTGTTTGTGGGTGTGTGTTTGTGTGTGTGTGTTTGTGTGTGCGTAGTGTGTGTGTGTGTGTGTGTGGGTGTGTGTTTGTGTGTGTGTAGTATGTGTGTGTGTGTGTGTAGTGTGTCTGTGTTTGGGTGTGCGTTTGTGTGTGTGTGTGTGTGTGTGTGTGTGTGTAGTGTGTGTGTGTTTGGGTGTGCGTCTGTGTGTGTGGATGGAAGTTTAAAGTTCAAGTGAGTCAAAAGCAAATGAATGCAAGTTAACGTGATCGCGACAAAAACATGAAATATTCATAAACATAATATAATATGTATGAAATAATATACATATATATATATATATATAATATATACGTAATACTGAAACCGTGGCGATGAGAAGGACGTAAATGAGTGAAAATAAACTTCTTCACAGGAAACAGCCTAGTTTGGTTTAAGCAACAAATGGACTTATTCCGGTTTAGGAAAAGACACTTATTATATATATATATTATAGACACATGGAGTATTTTTATTTCCGGGTGATTGAAGGTTCCCGGGGTCGGGGTGACCCCCCCTCCGGGGTTCCTGTCCTCCTCCTCCTCCGTGCTTCCTTCCCTGCTCCCTCTAATGAGCACTTAGAGCACAGTTTGACTGCTTCTCCTTCTTATCTCGGAGGAAGAGGAGGAGGTGTTTGATTCCCTCGCTGCTCTACATCTCGTTCTGTAAACAGCTTCATGTTACTTCCTTGCTTAACGTCCTTGAGCTCACACACACACACACACACACACACACACACACACACACACATATATATATATATATGTGTGTGTGTGTGTGTGTGTATATATACACACCCACAGGCGCACATGAAGCCCCTCCTCTTGTTCTCGTCTCGTTGGCACGTGTTGGACCCTCCTCTGCTTCCTGGTTTTCGGTCACCCGGTCTGAAGCGCTGCTGTGGTCTTAAGTGGTTTCTGTAATGTGTACAGATGTGTGCGCTCTGCTCGGTGGGGGGACGAGAGCAGACAGGCGGAGGCTTTGTTCCTGTTGTGTTCCTGCTGCAGGCGGAGAAAGTACACTGTGTTTTCTGATGAAACGAGGGGAAAAAGGAGGCCAAAGGTCAAGCGGTGTAAGATTTGCAGATGTGCAGAGGTCTGCACATTTTGGGGGTCTCCTCTATATATAAGTGTTTGCCCACTGGGGCGAGTCCTCACGGGACAGGACCGGTCCACGCTGGTTCTCTATGGTCCTGTCGCCGGGGCAGATAAATATTCCACTTGCTGCAGCAAAAAAAAAAAAAAAGCCCCTCTTCTTTCATTTCTGTTCTTTCCTCCCAAAGTTTCCTCTTTCTCCCCCGACCACTCGTCTGCTCTTTAGGCTCAGCGGGTTTTCTCCCTCTGCTCTCGGTCATTTCCACTTCCCTTTTCTACACTCAGCACTTTGTCCCGAGTGGCTTACACAACACCTGCAGCGGGGACGCACGTCTCAGGGGAAACTCTGACTTCGGTTAAAAAGACGCCTTCATTCGCAGAAAAAAAGTGCAACTGGGGATTTTTAGGGTTCTTAAATGATCGCGGAAACTTTTTTGTTATTCTTTAACATTATTAAATAAACCTGAGCCTCAGCGAGGGGACGAGCGGTGAAAACAGGACAGACTGTAGAACATAATTTGAGTCTGGCCTGAAGCTCAAATACCAAACACCAGCGTCTCACGTGTGTAAGTGGGTCACGTGGTCATCTGCAAGTTTCAACCGGCCTCAAAGCCCCGACGCCAACTCCAGCTCCAAGCACCTTTTCAGAGGCATTAACGGGCGGCGACATGGTCGCGAGGGAAGCCGTAGCTTCATGACGCCGCTCAGCTTCTGGCTGGTTGCTCAAGAGCTGTTTGGCCGTTAATGTGTTTAAGTTTGGCCGAAGAAAGGAAAACGTTTGGAAAAGGTTTGGCCGGCAGGTTGAGAACAAATGTCAGTGGAAACAGTGGTTGCCTGCGTTAAACACTGAGTTCCCCGGATACTGTTCAAACGGATTCGTCCACCTGCGCCTCCCTGCTCTCTTTCCTCCAGGTGACTGCTCTGAAGCTCGGTGGCTGTCCAAACATTGGGCCCGTCTGTGAGCGCCTGCCCTCCCGTATCTTTCTCCTCTGCTGGTTGTGTGTCCGCTGACGCGTAAACGCCACCGCGGATTATTTGTCCTCGACGGATTTGTTATCAACTGTGCACACAAGAACACTGCGATCGGCCTCTCGCCGGCTCCTCCCCCCGGCGCTGCACCCGACCCCACTTCTTCGTTGGTCATTCTGGCACCGAGCCGCGCCGTGACTTGTTTATTTGGTTTCCTTGGTGACAGAAACTCCCAGAGTGACGTAATCGCTCTAAAGTCTAACGCTCAGCGAGGACCGGGCAGGACGTTTGTGTTGTTTTTTGAATCTGATCACGTCAGCTTTGAGGATGTCGTTTCTCGTACTCAACAGTCAACGTTGTCGCCCGCGTCAGCAGTGGTGTTTCCAGATGAATCTGGTTGACCAAGTTTAGTGTGAGAAACACAACAGAATTTAGGAAGTGACTCATTTGAATTCCATTCCTTTGGTTCTGCACAGATTTTAGTTTTGATTCTATTTTAAATTGAGTTCCACAAGTACTGTGAGTTCTGTGTTATCGTGCACTGGATATCTAATTGAGAACATTACACAACCTAGAGCTACATTAACATTAACGTAACTAGTGTACATTCAAGTTGAATGTTCATGAGTCATTTTTATAAAGTCCCTTGAGCCTTGTTTGCTCTCATGGGAACTTCAAGCTTTTTGATTTAATGTCTTCAAAACTGCCAGAGGGCAAAAGGAAATGAATCAAACGTAAACGAGGAGATTTAAATAACTGTAAATCACATCTCGTATTCCCGCTATAGCGGTTTGTGTGTGGACCCAAATGCGATCACACGACTCCAGGGTTCTTTGACCTTTTATTTAAAGTGGAAACAGCAGGCGGAGGGCTGGTTGGTCCACCGGGAGTCCGGCCAGCGAGTTAAACAGGGACAGGAGGGTCTGCAACAGGAGCTCCATCTGAAATCAAGTGACAGTCTGGCGTTAAAGCAGAAGAACAACCTGGCAAAGTGTGTGTGTGTGTGTGAGAAGCAGTGATCAGGTGTGTGAACAGGTGGACTTGAACATGGACCACTTTATTGCCTTTGCACAAGCCCCTTAAATAAAGACGTCTAGAATGCATTCACAGCAACAAAGGTGGAATATATTTTTAAAAAATTGATTTGGCTGCAAAATATTTAACGTAGATTTCAGGCCTCTTTAAAAACACATCGGCTGTCCTTGAATGATCCCCAGATACATATCAGTGGACCTTTTACCAACTCGGCTATTTGTGACAGACGCGTCACGCCGCAATTGCGCCATTTCCCTCCCGCTGTCGCTCGGCGACCATAAACGCGCTGCTTCGTTGTACTTTTTTTCCGCTATCGAAGCGTCTCTTACCAGAGCGGACGTGAGAGCCGCCGGACGAGGAAGTGAACCCGTTGACTCGGCACATCAAAGGCCCTGGATGTGACCACGTCGGGGGCCTCTCCTCTTACGGGGGGGGGGGCCGAGGTCAGCCCCCTGTGTCGAGTGTCATGGCTGGACTCTTCCAGTTCAGAAAAGCGGAGGCCCTTGTTATTTCGCATGACGTAAAAATTCTTTTTCTGCAGCTCACCTTTGGTCCAATTAATCCACGGAGGGTTCAGCCAGCTGCCTAACAAGCTGCCCCCCCCCCCCTCCCACCCCTTTGCCCCCCCATGGAGAGCACAGCAGCCGGATGAGGCCAAATGAGGACAATGGAAAAGGGATATTTACGCCTGGTGACAATGTATCGCCTGTTGGACCCGTCTCACCCCAGCTGGTGATCCGTAAAAGCTTCATGTGCAAAACGAAACGTGACGCAGACGATGAGTGCGGCGCTCCGTGTTGACGGGAGTGCAGCGGCGCTCTGGTCTCAAGTCGAGGCCCCCGTTACGCAACAAGACTCCTCCGTCTCTGCTCCCGCTCCGCAGGGAACAGTTTGAGCGGCGGCACAGGGTGTACTTTAAGGCCGCGAGCCAAAAGGCAACAGCGTGAAGCAATCTGCCGCGACTTCTTTTGACATTGAGTCATCTTGTGGGTTCTGGTGGATTACGGGGAAAAGATTTCAACCATAAACAGACAGTTGTTCCGTTCCTGGTTTCCTCTTGTAGGACGCGATCCACGCAGACGGCGTCCTCCGAGGCTGATAGCCGATGCTTCATACGTTAACGCGGCATCCGTAGCGACCGCCACTATCGCCCCTCTGCTCCCATAGACGTCTATGGGAAAACGACTATTGATTTATTCCCTCAGTGAACATTGTAAACTTGAGTTTATGGTCTCAATCTCTAGTTTCAAGTCTTCTTCAATACAGCATGATGTTCATTTAGTAAATGAAGGTCCATTTAGAGTCAGGGGAAGCTGTATGGTCTGTTTCATTATCCATCTTGTTTTCTATTCTTGGCCATAATGAGCTGTGAGGTAATAAAGGCAGGATTGTACCAAATCGAGGTATATTTAATTGCTTATGAATGAACTTTTAGATTTACATAACCTAAAAGGGCCCATTGGTACCTGTTCTGTCTCCGCAGCTCCCCAACATGTTCGGAGACCTCAGGTCGACCTTCATCGCTCTGATGATTGGGTCCTACGCCTCCTCCGCGGTCACCTTCCCCGGCATCAAGGTAACGGTTGATCCACGCAAAAAAAACCCAGCACACAATTCTAGAACCATCCCCCCAAAAATATTTACTCGCTTTGGTCCCTGTCAACTTGTTTCGGTAGGTGATCTACGACCTGGGTGCCACCTTCATCATCATCCTGCTGGTCTGGGCCTCCTGCGCCTGCCTCGTCTTCTTCAACTGCTTCGTCAACTGGCCTCTGGAGCCCTTCCCAGGTCCAGAGGACATGGACTACACGTAAGACGAAGACCCCCACACACACACACACACGCACACGCAGATGTTCCTGTAGCCTCCAGCTATCACAGAGAAGCAGCCATCGCGATGCAAGGGGCTGACCTCGCGGAGGGATTCTCTCTGAGATCAGACAGCTTTCGTTCTCCACAGCGTTTCACACACACACAGTAAATCCCAGCGTTATGCAGCGGAGGCCTGAAGACGGGAAATACTCTAAACCCTGATGATCAACTGGCTTTGCTCTCAATTGTCTGGATCCTTTGTTTCCTTCGGTCTTTTTCCCCTTTTACTCTTTTTCAGCTGAGAAAAGCTCCTCCTTACATTTGACCTTTTTCCATGTTCAGTCTTCTTCTTGTCCACAATGTTAAAAAATTTGCAGTAGTCATAGTTATTATTTTAATAAAAACACACATGATAAGGAAACAATCATATATATATATATATTATATAATAAATATTTGCTTTGATTAAACCATTTTTGGGCATTAATAATGTATTAAAGTTAGTCTTAGTAAGAGTAAATTAAAGTCATAATTCCCTTTTCTAATATCTTATTTCATATTGATAATGCTCAGTTGATTAGCTGTTAGCTTCTCGTTGAAGTAAGGCCTGAGACGTCACTGTGAATCTTTTAAGAAGCGAAATGTAAACCAATAACTTTTTTTGTATTTGATCTGATTTTAGTTCAGTTTTGTTCCAAACGTTGCAGCGCGGTTTGCTTTGTTTTTTTTTAGCCAAACAGAACTGAGGCATTAAGGCATTAAGGCATTAAGCTAACGTTAAGCTAACGTTAAGATGAGCTCCAGAATGGCGTTAAGCTAGCGTTAGCTTGAGCTCGACGGGGAACATTTGAGGGATTGGCGACTAAAGTAAAGTATTTTAACCGTAAAGTATTTCATTGTCCCAGATAATAATCCAATTTATTTCCCTATTTAGCTTTTCAAAACATTTTTTTTGCCCGATCAGAACACAAGAGCTTTAACCTCCGTTAACGTCGAGCCATGTTCCACCTCCTTCCCTTCTCCTTCCACACGATCCTCCAGGGTGAAGATCAAGTTCAGCTGGCTGGGCTTCGACCACAAGATCACGGGGAAGCAGTTCTACCGGCAGGTGACCACGGTGGGACGGCGCCTCAGCGTGGGCCACTCCATGAAGCAGCAGCAGCAGCAGCAGCCCACCGACCTGGCCTCGCAGGAGGCCAACAAGCTGTGCCTCTCCACCGTGGACCTGGAGGAGAAGTCCAAGGCCAAGGAGGAGAGTAAGTCTTAAGTCCCCCCCCCTTCACAGCCCACGCTCCTCAGGGGCCTCCTGGCTCTTTGACCCCCCGGGTCAGGGACTCCCTGCTGGGGGGGGTCTGGTCACTTTGGTAGCAATTGGACCGTGTGACGGGTTCTGGTCGTTGTGGTTCGTAAGGTCAAGTGTCATCTGGTTTACGTGTCTGTGTGTGTGTGTGTCTGTGTGTGCGTAAAGTCAGGACCTACATGGTTGGTTTCACAACAGCTGGAGATGTTCCGTCTTTCCGGAGCTTTAAAGAGGCCCGTAGTACAAACACAAACCCGGCTCACCTCCCATCCCGCTCCAATTTACGACGGCTCATTTTTAGGTAAACAAAAGAGGAGGAAAGAGGGCAGAGGGGGGAGGTTTGGGGGGGGAAGTATTCAGAGAAAACTCCAAAATTTTCACTTGCAAATTAATGAGAAAAAACCTTTTGACATTCTCTGAGATGGCAACACGTCCCTAACACGTCGTGACAAAACACTATGTTGTTTTAAGTGTTTTTCCCATGAAAGAAACGCTATGTTGTCACTCTTTCCGTAACTGTACATTATTTATTTAATTTTTTTTACCTACAATGGCCCAACACGCCGTCATACTGATGTGTTTGCAGCTTTGAACGTTCCTCAGAGCACCTGATTTTTAATTTTTTTATCCCATCGTCAGTAACACACACGACCCTTGTGCTAGTTTGTGATGTGAACTACATTTCGTGCCAGTCTTTTTTTTATTTTATTGATTGCTTGGATTTAAAATAAAACAAGACATAATCGAGCATTTTAGCTACGACTTTGCGCCGCCGACTCTCGAACGAAATATTTAGAACCACTGATGATAACTCATCTCCTCACGTTTGGCCGCCAGCACCAAGGTGAGGAGACCTGTTCCCTGAATAAAGGTGGAAGCCCGTCATGCGAGTAACAGACCCGTCAACCTGACGACCACCGACTGGTCCGTCCCGCGTTTCTGTTTGCACTCACGCCTTCCATTAATGATCAACCCCTCCCCACAAAGCCACCTTCCTGAGCTGAGTCCCGCAGCTGCTCGTTGCCACGGCGACCGAGATGTTTGGATGACAGTGGACCTTCTCCGGGGCAGGACGCTTTCCTTAAAAATAAAGCTCATTTATATACATGCTTAAAAAAGTTCAGGCCCTTCGAGCTCGGTGACCTCAGCTCTGATCTGTAACGCCGTCGTCCCCTCTCGTCACTTCCTCCTCAGCTCAGTCCTTCATGAAGAGCATCTTCAGCCCCATCTTCCTGCTGAGCCTCATCACCATGTGCGTGACCCAGCTGCGCCTCATCTTCTACATGGGGGCCATGAACACCATCCTGGAGTCGCTGTCGGACGGAGACCTCAACACAGGTGATACGGTTAACATCTAACCACATATACGTGCCAGGACTTCCCTGCTGGTCCTCTCTAACAAATCCTCCTTCAGCTGCTTCTTCCCGCTCAGCTAAACCGCCTCGTCGCCTGTTGTCTCTCTCTCTCTCCTGCTCTGTCTCTTCCTGGTTACGCTGCTTCTTGCTGCTGTTGCAGTGGAGAAGATGCACGTGGGTAAGAGACCTCTAGGCTTGTAACTTGAAAAGATCTAACCCCTTCAGATGCTCCTCAACCGTCTGTCCACTTTCTGTTTTGCTTGTTTCTTCTTTTGTTGTATTTGAGAGTCGACCCCCTTTGTGAAACGTTAGAAAGGGAATGACCGTTGTTGTTTGCGTGTCTCTCAGTGAGCGTCTACACCTCCATCTTCGGCGTGCTCCAGCTGCTGTGCCTGATCACCTCCCCCGTGATCGGCTACGTCATGGACTGGAAGCTCAAAGACTGCGAGGAGGACGGCGCCAAGGGCGCCAAGAGGTGAGCGCCGAAAAACACCCAAAGAAAAAACACACGCACACGCACCCGGAAGGAAAAAACACAGGACTTAAATTTTTATTCTGCTGCGAACAGGGAGCCGGGTCAGCCCCGTCCTCCCGACAAACACATCCAGAAGATCACCAACGCCACCAGGGCCTTCGTCTTCACCAACCTGCTGCTGGTCGGCTTCGGGGTCAGCTGCATCGTGCCGAACCTGCCACTTCAGGTACGCCCACGAAGCGGGAGGACAGCTCGTTCCAGGCGTGTTCCTTCATCTGAACATAATGTTCAGGCAGGGCCGACTCACATGGCAATGCGGCTCCTGGCGTCACTCGGTCCTGCAGGGACCCCTGATGGACGGCAGAGGCGTTGCGTCTTATTTATTCCTCAAGTAGTTGTTTGAACACGTAAATGAGGTTTTATGTGTGATACATTTTCATATATTTACTAAACGGACATCTGAACTTGAGAAGTCACGTTAAAAAATCCTGCCTCATTTTTGGATCATATTTTGGATGTTTTTGGGATACGCAAATGAGGACACTTTTTTTACCCCTTTTAGTGCCTTTCCTTAATGGAAAGTTAATTAATTTTTTCTCTACTTCGTCTTCTGTTCTTCAGATTCTGTCCTTCATCCTGCACACGATCGTCAGAGGCTTCATCCACTCGGCGGTCGGAGGCCTCTACGCTGCTGTGTGAGTGTGGATGACACCGGGAGGTCGCCGGGAGGCGACCTAACCCTAACCCTAACCCTAACCCTAACCCAAAGACAGATTGGTCACTTCCATGAAACCTTGGTTTGTCCCTCGCAGGTACCCGTCCTCTCAGTTCGGCAGCCTGACGGGGATGCAGTCCCTGATCAGCGCCCTGTTCGCTCTGCTCCAGCAGCCCCTCTTCATGGCCATGGTGGGACCCCTGGAGGGGGACCCCCTCTGGGTGAGCTGCCTCCCCTGATGACCATGTTGGTTTTCATATTGAACGAGTCGCGGCGCCGCTCTGACCCCCCCCCCCCTGTCGTTGCTTCCTCAGGTCAACGTGGGCCTGCTGGTGCTGAGCATGCTGGGATTTCTGCCTCCCCGCTCTACCTCATGTGCCACAGCCGCCACCTGCAGCGCCTGCGGGACGAGCGCGACGAGGACCCCAAGATCTACGCCAAGATAACGACGGCTCCAAGGCCGAGGCTTCGTCTGAGACCTGGAGGGGCCGCCTAGGGAGGGAGGGGGGGGCTTCACTCACGCCATCGTTACTGCCCAGTGTTTATTTTGTTGGATACGACTCTACGCGCCACTATGACAAGCGGGCCTCGCCCTCCCCAACGCCGCACACTGTGACACACTGGCGCTCGGAGCTCCTGCTCCCCTCGAACGCATCGCCAAACTGAGAGGGGGGGGAAAGCGGCGGTGGCGGACTTTTTGTTTTTATTTCACACGCATATACTATATAGAATGACTCCTCTACACATCTTCTCTTCCCTCGCCGTCATCCGTATTTCTCTGTGACGATGAACTTGACGAGAAGACAGCTTCGGTAACCACGACGACCTCCAGTTTCTCAAAGGACTCAAATGTCCTCCCGGGAGACAAAAGGAACAGCACGAATCCCCGGACAGCAGTATGTGTAGCATCTGGGACGTGTGTGTGTGTGTGTGTGTGTGTGAGACGATAACACAACACTGCATGATGACCTCTGCTTCCCGTTTTACCGCTCAGACACACACTCACCTTTTTCTATGTCTCTTCTTCTTTCGTTGTCCTCGGAGGCATGTGGCCGTCACCGTTGGCAAATCTTTGGGAGTAAACGGATACCGGCGCGTTCTGTCAGGGAGTCTCGATTCCGGTCACAGCAATAAGTGCTTCTGTGAGGTTGCCGGGGCAACACAATCGCTTCAACTTGTGTTGCTGTATTTCTAAATCGACACAACAAACGTGAAAGGTGCTGTTTCAAATCGCAACAAATGTTTAGGTGTTTTTTGCATTTGCGCTGTAAGTGGCGACAAATCGCCGCTAAACACAACTCGCAGGAGCCGCTCCTCCTCGGCCCCCAAGACTCAAGTCAGGTTCTCCACTTTCGTTTTTTTATTATTCCTCAGCAATGACCAGCGGCCCCGGCGGCTAAACGTGAATCTGCCTCCTGCGGACGTGAAGATGGTTAAAGACGGCGGCATCTCGAGGAAACATCAATAGCGCTTACCTGTTGTGACTCACAGAGGCACTTCCAAAGACAGCCATGACCCTCAGAGTGCCTCTATGTGTGCAGAAGATGGGAGGAGCCCTCCACCCCTCCACCCCTCCCCCCATCCACTCATCCATTCATCCATTCATCCATTCATCCACTCATCTATCGCTTTCATCCATCTGAATACGACGTCATACATCAGGGGCTGAGAGACAAGATGCCCCCCCCCCCCCCCGGGATGAAACTAATGCACACGATGCACTTTAGCGCTCCAGATGTCGTAGTAAGCAGAGAAGGCCGCTAGCTGGCACCATTAAAAGAATGTAGACTGTAGATTTTTTTTTTAATTCAATACACCGGAGAGGCGCGGTTATTTTTTTAAGAGCCCAACATATTTTAAGAAGAAAACAAAGATTCATGCTTTGCATGTTTATTATATTGCCTTTAGATGTGCACGGACAGCAGGGGGCGGAGTCTTGTCTCTCGGTTCAAACATAGCCCCTCCCCCTGTGGAGAGAAAGCTCGGCAGTGATTATTCAAACGTGTTTAAACAAGTGAAGCAACTGGACTAAACTATAGCCACCATCACAATGCAGCACGGCAGTTATTGATCTTCATCCGACACCAAACCCTACGACCAAAACGTTGAATTATCAGTAAACCCTCCTCTGATACTGTAGTTCTCTTTTTATTGATAGAACGTTTACATTGTTGTGTCTCTCAGATCTCAAGTGCATCCATTATTTTTTTTTATCAATACTTTCTGTCAGAAATTGAACCCTGACGTCCTTTTTTTAACAGATTTTAGTCACACTTTATTTTTACGATACAGAGACGATTGTCATTTTTCGGGGAAAAAACAAGGAAAAGAAATAAATGGTTTGCGGCTGAGAAATTACATCAATGTTTGTTTTGTGTTTAGAATATACACAAAAGTACAAAAGCAAAAGCACAAATCTTCAGTTTATTTCTTTTTTGCCTTACGTTTGTCGTTTAATATAAAAAACGACGGATTCATCACCGACGCTGTTGAATACCACAGAGACCACCTCTGATGCCGTACTTCACCCTGAAGCTATAAATCGTGGGTGATGACGTCTTCACCTTGCTCAGTTAAAGACAAAAAAAAATGAATTCCCTCAAAACTGATGGACACTTTTCTTCACCTTAAGGGCCTCAGCTGAGCCCGGCCTCCTCCAGTAGGAAAGATTCTGCAGTAGTTTGTTCCATCAATGGATTTATTGATTAATGGCGTGTTCTCTGATGATGGGAAATGCATGTACCCTTGTATCTTTGATTTCTACCTTTTTTGCTTCTTTTTTCTTTATGCCCTTCCTGCTCATGTTTACGGGAATGTGTATTTTCATGATCTTATGTTGTATATTTGTTTTTTGGTCTTGCACCACAGTATAGCCACTATCATGGACATTTAAAAAAAAGATCAATATACAAAGCAAAATAAACACCACAATTTGTATAATGTGCTTTTTGAATATTATTTTAAACGATGATGTCGTAGATTCTCGAGAATTCTTTCCTCAGAGCAGCAGAGGTCAGACTCTCCCTGTAACAACCCATCCAGTGACACAGTGACAGTTTGAAGGTGTGACAGGTCGGGCGACCGCTCCCTCAGAGGAGAGAAACCGGTCGAGCCCAATAACCACCGCGGACGTATTTTCTGCCTCGACCGGTTCGACGCGCAGCTTCCACTGTGGAGAAGAACGAGTTTGGGCCAAAGACTCACGTCAGATAGAATCATATCTCCCCACTGGGCACGATTAAATAAAGGCGCGTGATTCTTTTTTGCCACACTGAAGGGAATGTAAATGTTTGACCTAATAGTCAAACCGCTAATATATCATATTATTATTTATTTTCCTGTGTTACATTATGATTCATGTTATTGACATTAGCTGCACAAGTAAGAATAACAGCAGTGGTACTACTAAAACTACCTACAACAGCTTTGTAAGAGTGACACTAAAAACGTGACGTCAGCGTTACCTGAAACTAAAGGTGGGGTTGTCTACGCCCCCCTTTCCCCCTGTCCCGAAGCCCCGCCCCCTGTGGCATCTTCCAGGAAGAAACCTCCGCTGGAGCGTAAAAGCGTCGAGCGGTGAATGAACGTCTTTTTACCGGCTGCAAAGAGGCTCTTCTCTCCCGCGCTGCTGTGGTTCGGACGGAGGCGCAGTCAACATGCTCATCAAGGAGTTGTGAGTGTGTCACTTTGTCTAACTCGGGGTTTAGTTGTGGGCTTTTTTTTTTGTCCACCAGAGGAAATGAGTCAGAACTCCGCCGACGGTCCCGCCGAACTCCGTTTAAAATGATCTAAATTGAGAGTTTATGGGTTCGTGAGTGGACGTATGCGCACGTCTCTAGTACGACAGGATGGCACCGGGAGCGGGAGTCATTTCGGCCGGTGTGTGTTCGGCCGAGTGTTTGAAACGGCAGCGTCAGTGAACTTTAATGGAGGTCGGGGTTCGGGTTGAGCGGTTCGCGCTCGCTTCCGAGCGGCGTTAAAGTCTGCGGTCGTCGCGCTGGAGTCCGGCAGCGAGGGAAGAAACGCCCGCAACGCTGGAACTTTTCGTTTTAATTCCACTGGGTTTTATTTATTCTTTGAGATATCGACTGAGGTATAAATTCGCGTTTCATTGGTCACCTGTGTGACGTTTGAATGAACGCCAGGTTGTAATTGGCCATTTTTTTTTTTAAAGCATGGCGAATATTTAAGCAATTCTGATCGATACAGCCACGCGTTTAAATAATGTCCATCTTGTTTGACGGAGATGTGACTGTCACACGCACAGCTGGAACAACATCCAGCAGGAAGCCGTCGGCCGGCTGAGGTGCAAAGTGCATTAAATGGTTAACTGAGACACATCATCGTACTTCGGCGCATTAAAAGAAACCGCTTGTAAAATAAGACTAATGTCTTCAATGATACATGTTCTCTCTCTCTGCACTTTACTGGTATCTTTTTCAACCCAGCAGTCAGCGAGTTGGTGCCTGGAAAGCTCCTCTTTCACTCTGATCTGTTCTGATGAAATATTCAGGGCCTGCTGGACTGGCAACAGGTGGCAATTAATCTGCTTTTGTATCAAGACAAAGTACAAACACACACTAATAACACACACTCGGGTTTTCCACCACAACGTCCAAGGGGGGGGGTCGAGTTTATTTGTTCGCCCTCAGTCTTGATTGCAGATTAGTAATTTCCTCTTGTTTCTGTGATAACGGGTCATGAGCTGAGGGGCCAAACACACTCTGGTCAGTCCGGCTTCTTCTGCACGTTGAAATCAAACCGACCCGACGGGCTCTGACAGCCGCGTGGCGTCGTCCTGCCTTTGGGTTGGGTGGCCAATCCAATCATTAACAGGGTGTGTTTCATTATGCTGCATTTAATTATATATATACAACCTGTAATACCGCTCCTATTGAATATACCTACTGGTGTACCAAAATGAAATCACTAACTTTTTAGTCATTCAGTGGTTCCGATTGATCCTGAATCGATTGATAAGAAGATTGCTGACGTCTGTCCCTAACGTCTTCTTTTTTTGTGTCCTCCAGCCGAATTGTCCTGCCCATTTCAGTGGAGGAGGTAAGGACCCGTTTGATTTAACTTTGTCATGTGAAGGTTTCAGAGTTAGTTGGTTAATATCCATTTTCATGAGGGTTTATTTCCCATAGATGTCTATGAGAAAATGACTCTACTTCTTCTTCTGTTTAGTAAATGACCATAAAGCCGGGGGCGCTTTTGTGTCCAATAAGTGATACGTGTTAACGTATCAGCTTTTACATTCTCCCTTTAGTGACATTAAGCACGTTTACTTTGCTCATCAAATGAATCCTACGGGATTGTAGAACTTCTCCAGACTATCGACGTCCGTGACGACATCCAGAAGTTCAGGAGACCCGTCAGGCTCTTCGTTGACTTTCCTAAATCCCTTTAAGGTCACGCCCCCCTTTTAATCCACGCGCGTTTTCCCCTCGATACTGTGCTCTTTGTTTTTAGTTTTTTCGTTTCTTAACACGACGCAGTGTGTCATTAAGCCTCTTAATCACCCGCACGACCGGCTTTCCTCCTTGGGCCCCTCGCCGAGGTAGTTGTGTCATAATTGAACCATCGAGCTGGAACAAAGAGGCCGAGAGAAGTTGTGACACGTGTGCCGACTACATAACCCTGTGATTCTACGTGTCACGCACGGTATTAATCCATTTAAACGGGTGGTTTTAATAGTCGGGGAGGGTCGAAAAGCGTAAGATTTGAAAAGTAAAGGACCGAAAAAAACACAAGAACCCACATTTCCCACAATGCAACTCTCGATGATACTCGCACACCCCAGCGGCGTGACATCTAGACGCAGAAAGCGTTTAGACGTTCGCTCCCCCACCTCGTCTTTGTGTGCAAGTCCGCACGACGTGGACAAGTTAAACCGCGTCGCGTGCAGCCCGATTTTCTTGCGTCCCCGTCCTTTTCCCGCGACGAGGACACTCGCTGGTTGTTCCCGACGAACCACATTCCCGAGTCGCTGCTCGCAGCGGCATCCACAAGCTCCCAAAAACCTCCCAAACAGCAGATCACATTTTAAATCAACATGATCCAGTAAATGCCACAATTCTCTCCCGAATAGTGTAACAAAGTGATCGAACGTATCCGCGCTTCTTCCTCATCTGTGCTGAGAGTTGCACATGCTCAGTAGGCGCTAGCGGCCAGTGGCTAACGTTAGCCAAACCTGGCAACGCAACGCTCGGGTCAATACTCCGTATGCTCAGATGGTGTCCAAACATCTGTATTTCTAAGTGCTTTAAAGCAGGGGTCTCACTGGGGGGGGGGTCCGGTGCGGCCTGCCGCCGAAGGGGGGGGGGGCGTTCGGTCGAAGTGGGCCGCATCTGGCCCGCACCTGGAATGAGTTTGCGACCCCTGCTTTAAAGGGTCCAGCGTGTGATGGGGCGCCATCTGGTGGCGGAGTTGCAGATTGAAGCTTTGAGAATCTCATTCCTGCCATTTGCTCCCACAATAAATGGCACGCTGTTCCTTTAAGACGAGTCCCGTTTCTCCAGCAGAACTCAATGGACCAACGTGCGACAGAACGAAATCGGGACGTTCAGTTACTTCAAATTCACGTCTCGGAGAACGTTCACTGTTTCAACATCGTAGTGACACTTTGGGCGACTCCTTAAAGTGTGTTTGTGTGTGTTGGGGCCAGTTGGACTGGCCCAGTGAGTCACTCTGTCCCGCGGCGCAGCCCTTTAAAGTGACTCAGGAAAGGTTCACATGTCGGGGGGAGGAAGAGGAAGCGAGAGGAGACCGACTCGTGTCACAACACACTGATTCTAAATCTGTGTTCTAAATTGCCACAAGCCATCCACTTCTTAACCAATGTAAAAGCTATTTCCTGCTTTTCATTTAATGTAATTATATTAAAAAATAGTACATAACTGCTAACCATACACGACCTCACCAAGACAACACAAAAACAACACTAAAAAGGTAAGTGAGGTAGAAGAAGAAATAAAGGAGCAGGAAAAACACGACGCAAACGTAACAATAGTAAATAGTAACTAGTAAATTCGGCAACAAGCTACGTTAAGGAAAAGACACAAGAATTTAATAAAATCATCAGGATTATTATAGCTGACAGTTCATCTGGTGAGGAGTTCACTGGTGAAACACCACCAGAGGCTCTTCTGACCAGTGGAATGACGAAGAGAATCACGACTTCTTTCATCCTCACAGAAAAACATAAAGGTGGATTTTCTGTCCCCCCCGTTAGGACCTTATCTACCCGCTGACCGAGTGTGTCCCGCCGACATCGATGTAACGTGTTGTGTTAACGCTCCTCTCCCCCCCCCCCCAGTACCAAGTGGGTCAGCTGTACGCGGTAGCGGAGGCCAGCAAGAGTGAGACGGGTGGAGGAGAAGGGGTGGAGGTGATCCGCAATGAGCCCTACGAGAAGGACGGAGAGACGGGACAGTACACCCACAAGATCTACCACCTGAAGAGGTGAGCCTGGTTTAAGGACAGAGAAAGGCCCATTTTAAAACCCTTCACAAAATCAACATCTGGGTAGATTAGATATCAAATATTCAACCTCTTTGTTACTTTCCTCCAGTTTGCACAAGTAGTCCTTAAACATCAGGATACATGAAATGGGAGTTTGTTAAAAGGGATCTAGTTTAAACACTGTTTCCGGTTGGCGTCGCGCTAACTCGGGTTGGTAAAAGTCACTTAAAAATGACCCTTTTAAAGTCAAAAGCAGGATTTTAGGAAAAATTAAAAACCATCGAACGAATAAACTCCCATCGTGCAACAATGTTTTAGACGAAATACGCTTAAACGGAATCAAGTCGTTACCTTTTAGAAATTTAAAGGAATAAAAGTACGAGAGGAAGAAAAGAAATCTCTTTTCAACAAGCATTTTTATGCAAAACATTTTGTGCGTGTGCTCACTTGGGGTTTGTGTCCCTGCAGCAAAGTGCCGGATATCCTCGCTAAGCTGGCGCCCAAAGGTTCCCTGGTGGTCGAGGAGGAGGCGTGGAATGCGTATCCGTACTGTAAAACGGGTGAGTCCCAGAAGCAACGCCATGCAACGTCACACACACACACACACACACACACACACACACACACACACACACACCTCCATGCAACGTTGCACGCGCTGGGTGACTGTGCAGGGAACCCCGGCTGTGGAATAGTCTCTGCACACAGCTAAGGGGGAACAATTCTAAAAAGTCACCATGACGACGTCCACTTCTTATACACAACAACAACAACAAAGCGGCTCGGTTGCACAAAGGTGGGTTTTTGTACCGTTGTGAATCTGTGTATCATCTCAAGCTTTGTCTCTCTTCTCCTTCCACCGCCGACGCGTTTCCTCTGGTTCAGTCATCACAGTAAGTGTATTTACTTTACTGTTTTATAACTATTATATCGTGGCACTAACTAACATGTACAAACTAATGCAACCCTTATCTCGCAGAATGTCTACATGAAGGAGAAGTTCACCCTGACCATCGAGACCTGGCACAAGCCGGATATGGGGGAGCAGGAAAACGTAAGTCATGTGACCCGTAGGGGGTCATGTGACCCGTAGGGGGTCATGTGACCCGTAGGGGGTCATGTGACCCGTAGGGGGTCATGTGACCCGTAGGGGGTCATGTGACCCGTAGGGGTCACTCTCTTTACCCTACGTGCAGGTTGTAAACCTCCATTACAGGGGAATTTACGTGACTTTATTCTGTATGAACACGTTATTTCTGCCACATTGCAAGTAAAGATCAAACTGCGTTCATGTTATTAATATTGTATAAATTAATAATAACATTAGATTGCAGTTGATTCCAAACGGTTCCAACAATTCCAGAGCACTGTAAAGTTTCATATTGGCAAAACTTTAATGTTAGTAACATTGAAGAGAGTTGATTTGATAGAAAAATCAATTTAGTGATTTAATTTACTTCTGCTTGATGCCGTTAGACTGGGTAATATTACCACAATGATCAATGATCACAATGGACAATGAGGCCCGTTAGTGCTCTCTGGTGAAACCCTAATTTTTCTTGTATGTCTGATATTTGATTTTTCCTCGCTGCAGGTACACGGACTGGACAAAAGCCAACTGGATAAAAGGACAATAGTTGACATTGATATTGCTGACAGCAGTTGCATAAACCCAAAGGTACGTTTTATGGTGTTAGTGAGCCAGGAGGGATCGAAGGATTTACTAAATAAAACTCCCTAACGATGACGTCAAACATTCACCTATAAAACCTGCTGCTTCTTTCATCCGTCCTGCAGGAATACAACAAAGATCACGACCCGGCCATCTTTAAGTCACAGAAGACCGGCAGGGGGCCTCTGGGGCCCAACTGGAAGGTGCCGCTCGCTTCAGATCCAGGACCATTAAAACACCGGAGACATTGTGTCTTTATCTCTTTCTCTGCATCCGTGTCTCTGCAGAAAGAACTCGCCGATAACCCCGACTGCCCTCGCATGTGCGCCTATAAGCTCGTCACCGTCGAATTCAAGTGGTTTGCAATCCAGGGCACCGTGGAAAACATGATTCAGAAGGTACGGTTGGCCTTTAGATACATGACCTCCCTGTGGACCATTAACATAAATGCAAATATCATTATTATACCGTGTCCTCACGCCTTATTTTACTCAAATCACACCCGTCTGCAGTTCGAGAGGCGTCTCTTCACCCACTTCCACAGACAGCTGTTCTGCTGGATCGACAGGTGGTACGACCTGTCGATGGACGACATACGGCGCATGGAGGAGGAGACCAAGAAGGAGCTGGATGAGGTGACTCCAGATTACTCGCATTGATTCCACGCCGCTATTTGTGTTTTTTTGCTTTTACTTTAAATACCTGGTACAAAGTACGCGCTGTTGGAACGTACTGCTTCTTTGTTACTGGAATGTGGACAAGACGTGGTCGAGGTCGAGTCGCCCCTTGAATATGCACGCCGCCGTATCGTACCAGTGAAAGGAAGTTCTCCACCTGGTGGCCTTTAGAGAGAATGCAGCTTCATCACAATGTGCCTTGTTTCAACTATTATTCAAGTAAATTCTGATCCATCCATCTGCAAACCGCTTATCCTGCACACTGGGTCACGGGGGCGCTGGAGTCTTAAATTCTGATCCATTTCGTCAAATAGACCATTAAGTTGATTGAGAGTCCATCACACGGAAATGACTGAGGACAATCTCATGCGACAGACCTAATCAAATGAACGGTGCAGAGAAATTAGCCCTAGAATACAAATATTACCCTGAACACTTAGACGGGACGTATTTTGTAATACAACAAGATTTAAAAGGAAGTGACATGAAAATCGGAACAGTAACTGTCGTAACATGAGGAAGTTAGTCATAAAGTTAAACAATTCTCATTCTTAACAAGTTGAATGAAGCAAATCCGGAATTTGTTGCTAACAGATATTTGTTTCATTTGTCTCCCCCAGATGAGGGTGAACGGGGACTGTAAAGGTTTGGGCGCTATTGACGACGGCAACTGATCGGCTCCAGCGGGTGAGCGTCACCGTCCCGCCGTCAGTGGTCATTTGTAAATTGGTTTATGTTTTAATAAAACTTGTTCTGTTGTTCTCCTCTGCAGATCTCCTTCGTGTAAAAAGAGCATTCGAAGTTCCCGCCGTACCCAGAAACCGCCCGACGGGCAAAATCAAGACACGGGCTTCCAAATAAAATTTGCTCTCAATAATCGCTCACTATTGTAAAGCAATTGTATCAACCTACTTCATTTGAACTCCACTACAGCAGCTTTTATGTTATTTTTATTGGACGCGTCGCAGGGTTCGTTTCGGGGACGAAGCCTTCTTGCTTGTTCCCGTTGGGTCCTCTTGCGTTCTGAAATATTAGGTGTGGGCTGTCACTGAGGAAACACTTCTACTACTGCTATCCCATTTTAATTGCAGTTATTGTTTTTTTTTCTTCTTGAATTTTGTATTGTTCTCAGTGATTTGTTTTTTTATTTATTGTTAAAAGTGTCTTCGTGTCACAAACGCTAGTTTCTAGAATCTTTTCACATTTGGTCTTGAAACTCCTTCAATGTTTTCATGTAAATCATCGTCACGTGGTGACAGGAGGCAGCACAAATACAGCTAATGTAAAAACTATTACATATGAGACATGTACTTTTATTTAGGATAATAAAACTCTGGTGTACCTGATGTTTTGTGAGGTGGTTGGTGTCTGAGATTCTTTTTGGCCTCCATCTCTGTACATGTGGTCTCGCGTTGAATGAGAAAAACCTGGATTATAATGTTATGAGTTGTATGATGATGGTACAAAGTATTTTGTATTTGCTCCATACTTTGGGATATTTGTACATTCTTCAGCTGGATAAAAGTTTAGTGTGCAAACACCTCATTCAACTGTTGTTGAACAGACTGGAAAAGATCTCATCTATTTGATGCACTGACGTAAGAAATGACCAGCGTCTTAAAAAAAAAAAGAAGATAAAAGGTAACGACGTCCTTTGTGGGGGTTTTTTTCTCATTGGAATTTATTTTATTAACACTGATAAACAACCAATTCAGGTAAATACTATTTTGTACTTCATGAACACATTTTAATACACTAACACAGTAATGAAATACTCTTTGGCAGATACGTCACTGGCGCAGGTATGTGTTTTTTGTATCATCTCAGGAGAATAAACGTTACATTTACGTATTCTGTTCAGTGAGATTATCTTTTAGTTTTTAGTCTTATTTAGCAACAGCCAACTTGGGTGCCTGAAAAGTTCAAAGACTATCTACTGACGTTTTTTATATTATAAGATAATACATCTTAAAACTTATTTCAGACATTTAATTAAAAAGTTGACTTTTCATTCAAGGAAACCGAAAATACAAAATAAAACGTCAATTTATCCCCGATTTTTTTTAGACAATGAATAAATATATTTAAAATATTTTTTAGTTTGGTTTTTAGAAGTCAATATTAGACGCTTAAACGCATGTTCGTTTTCCATCACCACCTATCCTTCAGAATAAAAGCAATGACATATCTGGAATCTTTTGTAATACACCGACTATACAATATAACGTCAATCACTTAAGCGTATTCTAAATAATAAGGTAAGTTGGCTAAGATAGCCGGCAGATGTTGTGCAATACACAATACATTCGATGAGGAATTCTTAACAGAGTTGACTGTTCATTTCCGGTAGTCTTTTATTTTGAAGGCAGATACACTGTTTTATGGACAAGGGGCGGGAACAACAACAACAACAACTGTACTTTCGAGAGGCTGCTGCCTGTTTACTGTTAACGTACTGTATGTTTTTCGCTAGTAAACCGTGATATTAACAACGAAAACAAGTTTCACCAAAGCACATCAGGTAACGATAGTGTACTATTATTACAACCGTGCCTCACACAAGTGGCTCGAGTGTTACGGGCTAAATTAAAAACAGTTTGTTTAGCTAATGTTAGCTGTGCATTTTAGCTAATGATAGCTTTATCTTACGTTATAACAATGACGTAACTTAACGTTAAATGCCAACATCGAGACAGAAAGGGGGCGTAATGCTAGTTAGCTATGTGCAGTTAGCTGTGCTGTGTTTTTACTATCTTACGTTTTCATTACCGATCTAACGTTAACTAATAACAAAGTTCACTCAATTGAACATACGTTGTAATCAAGCTGCCCCCGTTAGCATCGTTAGCTTAGTAGCGGTGCTTTATTGTTGGATTCATCAGCGTTGTTCTACTTTATTCAGACGTCTTCCGTCTCTGCATCTGCCGGCGAGGAGATGACGGAGGAGCAGAAGGGAAGCTGCGAGGAAATGAGCTTCAGGTGCGACTTTCCTCAAATGATTTACAGAACATCGAGTTTAATGTGACGAACCTCGTCGACATTTTACAGGGAAATCACTGCACGATCATCACCGTGTCACACATTACGTGTTTACGTGCGTCTTGATAATGTGGAGGGACACCAGGTATTTATTTCCGGGTTGATTGATAAGATGAGATTTCTGGTTTGATTTTTCAAACCAGAAATGTTAAATGCGGTGATCATAAATGATTAGGTTTCCCTGCATGAATAAACGAAAACTAAAAATATTCTTGTTCTTTGATCTTTTATATCAGACTCTATTTTTTCTCTTCTCTACCATCATAGTGACTTGTGGTGATATTCCAGATTGCCCCGATAATAGAAATGCACCATAATCAAGTTATTGTGTAAACCTGTCGAAATGTGAGCGTTTATAAGTGTGATAAGCCTGGTGTAAAGGTGTGTGTGTGTGTGTGTGTGTGTAGCTGTTACACATACGGTGATCACTTAATTATTGCGTCCGTGTGCCGTAAAATGGTCATAAAAGTTGTGTCACATGCGAGTAAAGTGCGTGTGTGCTGCTGAATCCACTCATGAATGCGAGAACCGGCTCAATTAGACATTTTTTCAATTTTGTCTAAAAGAAATGAAATTAGTTTAAAATGCAGCACTCTGTCAAAAACATGCGATAGAAGAAGTGTTGAACAAACAGCCACAAGCTCGTCTCCGCTGTGCGACCAGGAGCTCAGCTGTCCGTCTCCCCCGGGGTTGGAAGTGTTGTAAGAGTTAAGGCGGTTCGTTTTTTTGGCCCGTCTACAATTCAGACGTTGCGTCGTGGCTGCTGGATTAGGTTTCCCAACAGAACGCAACTAATGCGGATTTAATGGGGGGGAAAAGCAACAATGTGTTTCCCCAAAAAGGGAAAGAATGCTTTTGTTCAGCTGGTTTCCTAACTTCTCTAAGGGGCTTTATGTTGAGACATCTTACAATGAGATTATGCGTATTTTTAGTGCACAAAAATCACATACAGTCCAACCCCCCCCCAGTCCTTGAACCGAGACCCTCCTCATTTCAGTGGTTTCATTCTTCAGAAACAACCCAAACATTCGGCCTGCGGCTCATTTGATTTCTATTTTCATTCGCGATCAAAAATACTTAATTGGATTCACAAAGCTCTCCTCGCCGGTTTTTAGCGCTCTGAGCCAGAATGGATGAAATCAGTCGGCTGTTGGCGGGCGTGCGACGCGTCCGCTCCGACAGCGTCTGCAGCGACGGCACGCAGTCGACGGGCAGCAAGCTGACGCTGCGCCATCGCCTCAACCAGCTGATGACCTGCGTGGACGACTTGGACCTCCGGAACGAGCTGCACGAGAAGATACTGAAGACTCTGGACGTCGCCTTCCTCGCCTGCGGGAAGACAGCCGGCAGGCCGAGGAAGAGCAGCTTCAGGTGGAGAGTCGTCCTCCTCTGGGCAGGACGCTGTTCTTAACTCCAGTGGATCTTTGACCTTTTTGGATTTCTGTCAGACACTTTCCCCGTCGTAGCGTGAACGGTTGAGCCGCGTATGAATGTTGCGCGTTGTTTGGGCCTCGAGGGTCTGAGCTGCTCGTGGTCGTTGCACAGCGACTTTACTGTAGCTGCTCGATTCACGCGCTCCGCTCCGCGTTTTCCCAACTGAATGAAGCTCTTTGATTTTCTCCCTGAAGTACAGTTCAGTTCGTCATGTATATTTTCACGGTACAGTGTCTCGCGCAAGCTTGTTCAGCTCTGAACATCCACCTCTCATGGGAGGAATGTGCATATTGGACTGGAATGACTTCTTGTTTTAATGCTTCTCGGTCTGCTGAAGGCTGCACATGGTCACCTGGAACGTGGCAACGTCTGATCCTCCGGAGGACTTCACGCTGCTTCTCCATCTGAACTCCCCGAAGAGGCCCGACCTCTACGTCATCGGGTAGGCGAGCGCGAAGGGATTGTTTGGGTATGGTATATATATGTGTGTGTGTGTGTGTGTGCATTCAGCTTACTGCGTGGAGCCCAGTTTAAAAATGTTTTTCAGCATCTGCTCCTGTTGCTTTGGGGACACCGTTTGTAAACATAAGCACATTAACATGAAACATGAACATTTTCATAATACTCCGGTTGAGATGGTTCCTCGTACAATTTACAGTAGTAGTTCCCTTAGAATCTCTCACATATACAACCAATATAGATGAAATATCTTTACTGGTTAGTCTCATCATACAAGTTGGACACATTTTCTCATTGTATGAATAAGAAAATGTGTCCATTCGTTTGACTGGTGCTGAGTTCTTAATCCAGCCGACCTGAAGCAGAGCGATGCAGATATAGAATCAGAATGAGTTCTATTTTTTCTTCTTCTAAGTTTTATTAATTATTTTTAGTTTAATATGTTCACTTAAAAAATATTATTATTATTATATAAAATTAAACAAAATTGATAAAAAAAAATCAAAACAATATTTTTTTAATCTAATTAAATATTTGTTACACCTTTTTGTCTCTATGTACCATGACACCCCGTGTGTGTGGGACAGCCTGCAGGAGGTTTCCTCCCGGCCGCTGAGGTTTGTGTCCGACAGCGTGTTCGATGATCCGTGGAGTAAAAAGCTCATGGAAACATTGTCGCCACGGCGATACGTCAAGGTACCAATCCTCCCAGAACACCTCACACGCGGCTCTGCTGGCGAATCCTCAGCAGTCGTTTTTTTCACTTCCAGTGTGTGTTTGTTGAGTCGTGTGTGTGTCTTTCAGTTGACGTCCATCAGGATGCAGGGTCTGCTGCTGCTCGTCTTCTCCAAACTGAAGCACGTCCCGTTCATCAGAGACATCCAGACCACCTACACGCGCACCGGCGTCTTCGGCTACTGGGTGAGCAGCACACCCACGCACACGCAAACATACATGCATGCACACGCACGCTTTCACCCTCTCTCTCTCTCTCTCTCACGCGCTTACCGCTCGTCTCCCAGGGCAACAAAGGCGGCGTGTCGGCGCGCCTGTCCGTCTACGGCCACATGCTGTGTTTCCTCAACTGCCACCTGGCGGCTCACATGGACTTCGCCTCGCAGAGAGTGGACGAGCTCGAGTACATCGTGGACACGCAGACGTTCCACCGCCAAAAGGCCCCAAAGATCGACGACCACCGGTCAGTTGGCAACCTTTGGAGACGGGGGGACGGAATGTTTTTGATTTAATTCTACGTTTATATTATCTCGACCCAGTCTGACGTTCTGGTTCGGAGATCTCAACTTCAGAATCCAGGACCACGGGATGCACTTTGTCCGCTCGTGCATCAAGGATCGGACCTACGACCTCCTGTGGAGCAAAGACCAGGTGACCGATCAGCTGCTCCGCCCGCCGGCCACACGCCACGCAGATGTGTGACCTGATGTTTGTTCTCAGCTCACCATGATGAAGAGGAGCGAGCAGATCCTCCAGCAGTTTGAGGAAGGGCCTTTGGACTTCCCCCCCACCTACAAGTTTGACCCAAACTCCGACACCTATGACAGCAGGTAACTTTAGTTACTTAGTTAAGGTTGTTTTATTTTTGTAATATCTGATTCTGTGTAACGTGACGTCATTCCAGTGACTTCCTGGATAATATTGTGACATGAAACCCCAAACTGTCTCATGTTTAAGATGCCTTTTCACCTCTCAGGCTCTACAGGACTTGGTTTGGCTTTACGTAAGGGTTCGAAACACATCCTCTTTATTGTTTTTGCGCCGCCGCTCTTCTAATTGGCCGTAACTGCATCTCAGCATGTGCACGCAGGCTGCTGCTAACGCGTTGCTTCCAGTGGAAACCTTGTTTTTGGAATGTGTCACATTAAGTCTTAACAACCTATCAAAGTCTTAATGAAGATGCTCTTGTGTAAGATTACTGAGGAGTTTTTCCTCCAGTAGATGCCTCCTAAAACACACCCTGTCTGCGGCTTTGAAGAGAGACTAAATAACAGTTCCCCCTCGTAAAGGAACTGCTGGAGATAATACACATGGAGAATCATCTCAAGTGAACCGTAACCACCAAAGACACATCAAATACACTTTCAAAAACCTACAGGTTTCATTTAAATCTGCATTAACCTTTTTATTTCTGATGACATCGTCCACATTTAAGAGCTCGTTCATAGTGAACAAAAGCGTTCAAATAGATGTTTGAGTGATGATTCAATGCGTGTGTTGGATTATTCGCATTAGCTAAACAAAGATCAAGTGTTTTACAGACCTGCAGTGTGAGAGCAGCTCGCACGATGTTGCAACATTCAGTCGCAGCGCAGAGACGATATCAAACGAAAGAGTCACAACCACAAAAATAGTGACGCGGGTGAATGTCACCCAACCTCTTTCCTCCCTCCTAACTCCCCCCGTCCCACTCTCCCCCCCGGCCGCGCGCCTCACAGCATGGCGCTATAGAGACTAAGCCCCGCCCCCCTCGCTCTCTTTCCCCTCGTCGTCTCTGACCAGCGGAAAGAAGCGGAAACCCGCCTGGACCGACCGGATTCTGTGGCGCCTCCGAAACGAGGCCCCGCCCTCCGACGGGCCAGGTGAGGAGAAGGTTAGGAGCGCCGAGGAGGAGCAGGAGGAGGAGGAGGAGGAGGAGGAGGAGGAGGAGGAGGAGGAGTACCCGCTGAGGATCAGGCAGGACATGTACACCAGCTACATGGAGTACGTCAACAGCGACCACAAGCCCGTCATCGGCATCTTCACGCTGGAGGTGAGGAGCTTTGTTTCCTCACTAAGATTTATGTTGAACCCGGGAGTCGTTTACAGGATATTAAATATATATATTTAATACTTATTCACAAAAGCATTAAAGTAGTCTATTAACAACCAGTTCCAGCTGTAATAACACAAGTTATCCTCACATTCCGTGCCGTAACCCCTGTGCAGCTGAGGAAGAAATACGAAGCTCCTCTGGTGAGTCTGCAGCCGGAGGGCGACTGGAGCACCGACATGGACGCCATGGTCCTCTACCGGCCCCTGCAGCCCTTCCCCTCCAGCGCCTGGGACTGGATCGGACTCTACAAGGTCACAAGATACCACGGCGCGCATTCACCGCTCCAATGCCGCGTCTCCGTGGGGCGGCTTTAAGTGTGTGTGTGTGTGTGTGTGTGTGTTTAGGTCGGCTTCAGCAGTGTGTCGGACTACATCACCTACACGTGGGTCAGCGACGACCAGGTGGCCTCCAACGAAGAAGTCATACAGGTTGGTACACGTTCATCGATTCAGAAAATAAGATTCTGGTGTAAGAAAAAAAATTAGTAATCAGAAGTGTGTGCGTGTGCGTGTGCGTGTGCGTGTGTGTGTGTGTGTGTGTGCGTGTGCAGGTGTACGTAAGTAAAGAGGAAATCCCCGTGCGTGGCGCCGAGTGTGTGCTGTGTTATTACAGTCACACTCTGCAGAGCATCATCGGAGTCAGTGAGGCGTTCAAGGTACGCTCGTAATAATGTCAACCGGTCAGTCCCCAAAAAATCTATATGCTTGAAAATTATTTATGTTTAATAAAAATATGATTCTATTTAACTTTCTTATTGTCATAGTTTTGTGTAAACACACAATAATTAGAAAAATAAACGCTTGCATTTCTGCTGCCGTTGGCGTCTCGTAGGTCCACGAGTCAAAGGTCGCCAACGAGGAGGGTTTTTTCCACGAGAAGATTGGCGCCCTGGAGCTCGCCGTGTTCAAAGACGACCTCTAGAACCTGTTCGATGGAAGCGATGTATTTGGGTTCTGGTGGTCCGAGGCTTTTAAATACTGTGTTTTCCTATCAGGAAGCGCTGCTTGTTGCTGCTGCTGTTGGGCTGATTTCTTACAAATGTGGAGTCTGAAGGTTCTGTGGGAACGAGCGATCCTTCATCAACTGAGTGACACGTGTTTCTCAGTACAATGGAAACTCTAATTATTTAATTATTTAAATGATAAAAGAATCCCACATGGAACGAGTTGCAGCTTTGTGTCCCGGACTGAAGCCTCAGTAAGGGACGAGTTATTATTTACCCTGATGTTCATTTGCTATGTTCAATAGACCATAGAGCAGGGTGTGCTTTAGGGCGGGGCTTACTGTGATTGACAGGTCTCTGACCCCTCCGCGGTCCACACATGGTAAAAAAAAAAAACAACAACAACATGGCGACGCATAAAATGCCGACCTCAAGCTTCAAAACATCTGTTCTCTAACCAATGCGCGACTCCAGATGTGCGTTTGTTTACAGAGGAGTTGGAGGTAAAAGCTCGATCGCGTCGAGGCTTCTGCTCCGTGCGATCAGTCGTTTCTCAACTTTGAATATTGCAAATATCACACAGGAAAAAGGGAACCGAGCTGAAGCTCGTTGGCCCGTTGATGTGCAGCCGATCGACATCTTAATGTCCCCTGGAAGCTTCAACGCGCCGAACCGTCTCACGGCGGCTGCTGTTCGGAGGAAAGTTACGGCTCTTTCTTGCGCTGCGTTTGCAGACTTTCAGCCCACCAGCGTTTTCTTTTTGAAGTCGACCGTTGCAGGATATTAACGAATGAATATTACGGCTGGACAAACTTTCTTCTCTGCTGTTCTTTTAGAATATTCACACTGCTGCTTTAGGAGGAGGGGATTCGACTGTTACTTTTGGAGAGGATTATTGTTATTTTGAACAAATACATCATTCATTCCCTTTAATTCCCATTTGAGGAATCGCACAGATGCACAGTTTGTTGTTAATTGATGTTTAAAGGTTTATCTTTGGTGTAAACTAAAGGAATATAAATAAGCATCTTTCAGAGAACAACATGAATTCAGCAAGTGCCTTTTGAAATGATTGTAGCTTTATTGTGGCTCCAACACGGAAAAAACACCAGATTATTTATCAGAAATCTTCCTGTTCCTGTTGATCATAAATATTGCTGTTGTAAACTTTCAGTTGAATGTTAATGTTACTGGCTGGCTGGAATCAGTTATTGTCCAATTTGTCATTTTCCGTTGAATGTTTTCTACTAATAACATTTTCTGAAACACAAATTAAGTGCAACGTACTGTAAGAGAATATATGCAAATATTAAATAATTCTCACTTGATTGGGTGGTTTACTTTTCTGTTTTCATTAATATTAATAATATTAAGTCTAATTTCAGAAGTTTGCAGTACTGGAACAGACGTTTTATTTTTCTCTCCTGAGCTCAGAATAACGTATTCATACAAAAATGCAAAGATCATTTTTGTGACGCAGAATACCCCCGTCTGCATCAGGCCAGTTGTTTTAACATTCCACAGCTGGAGATGATAATAAATGTTTCCCAATCGCATTTCAGATATCCACAATGTGATTGTTCCTAGAAAGAAAAATCCCTTTTGTCTTTTATCCACATTGAGGTTTGATCGTCAAATACATCTACAATCCTGTTACGAGTCATGGCTTTATGATATGATATATAAACACATATATATGTATATATCATATGTATTTATGTTGAATATAGTTATTACATCTTAGACCTTTTGAACCGGTTAAAGGTTTTTAAGGATTTAAGGGTCATGGGTTTGATGCAATATGCATCGTCGCCACTAGATGTCACTAAATCCGAACCACTGCTCCTTTAAAGATATCTCTAGTTCAGGTTTAAATATTTCCCTCATAGTGGTTTCAATTTTAAAACCCAATCAAAAATAAGAAACATCACTGACTGACTTGTTTAATTAGATTCTACAGGACAAAAGAGTGAAGATTGAAAGCATAAAATGTAAACTTATTTATATGCATCTTAAACAGATGCACTTCAGCTTTTTACATATATTGGTTTTAAGGTAAAGTCTAGCAGCAACTGCTCCTTTTACACATTAACACATTAACTAACGGTTCGAACATTCAAACCACAGAAATCCCAAATGTTCTCCTTCGTTAGAGGTTAACGGACACGCGGAGCCGGCGTCACGTCTTCACACGCTCGTCTTCCATCTTGCCGAGTTCAAGTTGCTCAGGATTTGGCACTTCACCTAAAACACAAAGAGAAGACGGCTGAAAACCTCCAACTTTTCATCATTTTTATTTGTATTCAAAACAAGCAAACCCCCGCGTGAGTGTCACCTGGTGCCAGCGCAGTGTGGCGAGGGGCAGGGCCAGGTGGCATTGGGGGCAGGTGGCGATCAGGTCCGGGTCGCCCTCATCGGGGCCGGCTGCCCGGCCGGCTCTGGGCCGCCGATGGGTGGCCCTCTGCGCGGTGACGTCGTCCTCTACCGCCTCCTCGTCGTCCAGCGGCGTTGCTAGGAAACACACCAGCTGGTTTCCGAAGGGGACAAACGGAAAGGTGTTTTCAATGGAAGCTGGATGGAAAGGGACGCTGGGGTTGTGGGCGAGGCGAGGAAACGCGTTTCTGTCTCGTGCTCCAGCGTACCTCGTGTTCGTCTGCCTCCTCCGCCGGAAAAGATGCCGAACATCTGCCGCACTTCCTCGTTTCTGCTGCGCAACAAAAAAAACAGACGTCGGCGCTACTTCAGGAGAATCCACGCCGCGACACTTTGAGCCGAAAGCTCCGTCTCTTCACCCCCCCCTTACTCTTCTTCGGCAGTGGTGCGCCGCCGCAGGCCCCGGGGGGCCCCGAGGCGGTGGCGGCGGCGGAGGCGGAGCAGGCGGCGGCGACGTGGTCGGGGAGGCCCCTCAGGGTGACGTAGCGGCCGCAGTCTGCGCAGAGTTCGGTGCGACTCCCGCAGGCCACGCCGGTGTCTCGTCCAGATGTTTGAGAGGCAGCTCCAGCTCGCAGAAGCGGCAGCTCTGCAGCCGCTGGGAACACTCGTCGGCCTGGGAACGAAGGGAAGGGAAGGGGGGGGTTGGGGGGAGAGTGGTAGGAGAGGGGGAGGTGGTGGGAGAGGGGTAGGAGAGGTTATGAGAGGGGGGGGGGCATTTCAACAAATACAAAAACATCAAAACATTCAAACCGGATCAAAAAGGGATTAGCTTCCCGTCGTCGTTGACCACTGCACATCTTCACATGGGGGGTCTGCAGAAAGGGGGCGGGACCTGGCGTCTTTGCGCCCCCGGACTCACCTGGTGATCGGCGAGCTGACGCCGCTCCATCTTCGCGTGACACCCGGAGCATCTCACCTGCCAACCAACGAGAGCTTTGAACCTGCAGAGAACCCATTGTGTGCGTGTGTGCGTTGCGTGTGCGCGTTGCGTGTGCGCGTTGCGTGTGCGTCACCTCGGCGTGCTGCTCCTCTTGGTGTCGGTCCAGCTGTTCTCGGGGAACCGGCTCATCGCAGGCGGGGCAGAGACACAGGAAGCGTCTGCAGTGCGTCTCGTGCAGAGAGAAGTTGGCCTCTGCAACGTCTTTGTGGCTTGAAGGGACGAGGGACACACACACACACACACACACACACACACACACACACACACATCTTCTGTCTTTAATTAAGGAGAAACTAATTTATTATTATTATTATTTTTAAAGTTATTCCTTTTGGTCTAAGAGAAAAAGGAGTTTCTCTATTCAGTGATAGAGGAACGTCTCCATTGACAATTAGAGATTTCTCTGTTTCTTCACTGCAAACATTCTGCACGAGAAAAAGATAAAACAATCTGATTTTTAACAAGTTGTCGAGAACTTCTACTCTACTCAGAAATGATCCAAACAAATAAATAAATAACAAAGTGCAGATCCCAGCGTGTCCCTCTGGTAGAAAACCACAGATGGCAAATAGAGAAAGTGAAAGTTCCTTCGCCTCCCAGTTGGAGGTGAATAAATGAGGGAAACTACGTCCAAACGCCTTCAGGTGTCATTTAAAGTCTCACCACGCGCCGCAGGTGCGCGTCGCCTGTTTGTCGCCCATCGATGAAGTGAAGCCGTCGGTCCCGCTGCGGACCCGGTCTCCTCTGGTCCCGTTTCAGAGAAACAGAAAGCGAAGTCCTTCCGCTCCGTCACGTGGCGTGCTGCGTCACGTGACGCTCGTGTAACTTCAATGAACTCACGTAAATGAGTAAAAAAGAACACCCGCTGTTAATAATAATAACATGCAAATAATCCCTTGTTTTTCATATATTTTGTGTAATACATGACGGCGCGAGGGGAAACCGGTCGTTTATGAATTAATTACAATAATTCATTATTTTTAATGAACTGACAGAAGTTTAATCAATCGGTCAATTCATGGTGCCGTGTTGTTTTGTGTTTAAATGATGCTGTAGTTTCCACAGCTGTTCACTGCGCTCATTAAACAAGAGACGTGTCGCATTTCATCTTCTCTACAGAACGATTCTTAAATAGATTCAACCACTTCGTCCCTGAAATAGATCCCCATAAACATGCGAGCAATATGAAAGCGACTTTAACTGCATGACTTTCTTACTTTAACGTCATTTGAAAGGAATAAACACGCCGTCGCTTGTTGGAGACTAGAAGGGGGAATGTTTCCTTTAATTACGGCATTCGAGGGTTAAACGTGTCATCGGTGAATCTGGCAGATATCTGAGCAAACAGAAGGTGACTGGTTTGGGAAATGAGGAGAAATGGCAGTAAAACATCTGCATGGAATCTGCTGTGTGATCAGATTTACCTCAAACTCTCCTTCAAGACACTTTAAAAAGAGAAATGAGCATTTTAATATAAATATTATGTTGTCATGTCCATATATCTTTAAATATTAGATTATCTCTTCTTCTTCCCATCAGCTGAGTCTGTTCCCTAAATGCTGCTGCAGGGTCACATTAGGCCTGAGAACCTATTAAACAAATAATACATTTAATATTGATGTATCTTCAAACAAAATGTGTGATTTTTTGCTTTTAAAAGATATTCACATATGGAGCAAAAACAACTTTTCTTTGCAGTTCACATTTTTGGTCATTTTCATATGTTGCAAACCGCGTCTGTGTTGCCGTTGGTCATGCATGTCTTATTTCATTACAGGTCAATTCTCAATAGTGGACACACGCCAAGAAACATGATATTTCTCCTGTTTAAACCAGTGAGAGCAGCGTCCTCCGTCTCCATCACTCTTCTGACTGACTCATAAGAGACGAGTGTCAAAGACCAAAGAAATAAAGCGACATTAAAAGAGTCACACAGCTTCCTGACACATATATTGGTTCAAAGTCTCAGACTGAAATTTGATATTTGTCCAGCGTCTGTTATCCATTTTTGAATTTAATCACTTTTTGACTTCTCCTTGCTGTCATAATTTAATGAAATCTGAGATTCCTCAACAGACGTCTGTCAAAAAGTAGATTTCTTAGATCTAAAATCAATTCTTGTAAAAATACAAGAAGTGTTGGATCGAACCATTGAGAGGCCGCAGGGGGGCGTGGGGGGGCAGAGGAAACACCTGCAGGGTTTAACCATCCAGATTCCGCGTGACGCGCCGTGTTGTAATTTCCTTCCTCCCATTGGTCCCCAGGTGAGTCGTGACGTCACTCAGCTGGAGGCGGAGAGGAGCCGTGTGCAGCGGCTGATGAATTCCAACCAGTCGATGCACCTGTGCGGTGCAGTGACGTACCTCCAATACGGGGGGGCAGCAGAAACCAGCATTACATCAACACGCGGTCAACATCATATCCGGAGCACAGCGGTTTCATTCATGCATCGTTTTACCTTCTTTCTTTATCCTCACCTGGTTATTGAAACATTACAGTGTATTTTATTGTTGTGTTTTTAAAATAATGATAATTTCCTCCAAAATCTTGAATCACGTTGCAACATCAGTCAGAAAACACTGTTCTATAATTATCCTAAATGGTTAAATCTCCTATTTCATGTCAAGCAATATCTGTTATCGTTTGAAATAGGTGATTGTGAGGTGACAATATATAACTCAATATCTGCAAAGAATACAAGTAAATAACTAAAATAAGGAATGTACAAGAAATGTGTGCAAACACATGCGTCAGACGCAACAGGTTATTAGATGTGTGTATAAGTCAATATATATGAGCTCTAGTCCAACGATTATGGAAGAGTCTGCCAAGTGCCAAAGTGGACAACGAGCAAACTGGAGCGTTTGTGTGTCCGTGGACTCTGATCGAGCTCCAACTGAACGACCTCTGAATCAGAAGCAGCCAAAAAGTAAACGTGTACATTTATAGTAAAAAAAACTCTGGCTGTAACGTCATCATCATCACCACCCATGCGTTATCAGACACAACTCACATGAACGCTGGCGTTCTTTTTACTCTCGCATAGCTAAAGTCAACGTCAGGTGACCTGTGACCTGTGGTCATCAGGCACGCTACCACGTTGGTCCACAGGGGGCGCCGGACGCACAAACTCTAAAAGGGAGAACAAACTGTGAAAGTTACGCCGAGTCTACTGTCATCAAAATCCTGCTTTTGCTTTTTTTTTTATCTAATAGTGACACATTTTAAAACGTATCTCCGGAAACGTTGAGCCCGCTAAACAGTCCGTGATCTCTCTTCCCAACATCCCCCCTCGTGGCTCGTGAACATTCCAAACGTCCACCGTCACACAGCCGCCAACACAACGACCAAATCAGCCACCAGACGCATCTCACACAGAGCGAAGCGGCGCGACACAGTGAGTCCTCTCGTGTTTATTCAGACATTAGACGATGACCAACGGGGAGGGAAGAGAGAGCAGCAGGAGACAGACGGTGTGTGTGTGTGTGTGTGTGTGTGTGTGTGTGATGTCCTCCATGTACATTGATCCAGATGTAATGACGCTGAGGAGGGAAACATGCATCATCGAAGCAAAGTGTAGAACCACGACGTCGGCTTCACTCCGCCGTACAAACAGTCCTCTTTTTCTGTGCGGATCGTGTATATAAAAGTATTCTTTTTTTTTTTCTTTCTTCACTTTGAATACACAACGTGTGCAAATGTGTGAGTCTCCGTCTGTCACAGTCGC